AATATATAATAATAATGTATATAATATATTATTATATACCATGACTATTTCTAGGGATAGGCCCTTTTCGCGTTTATGAAAGAACCAAAGATCCCCATACCGTCTCTGCGGCTTTCATTATCCACCATCTGTCGTTTATGGACAGAACAAAACCATAATCTCAAAGCAAATGAGCGCCGAGCGCATACCGCACAAAAGGAAAAATGTAGGCTAATGCGGAAGTTGAGAGATGAGAGATTTTCGGATGCAAAAGATGGTTGGCAGATAGAGGGGTTAGGTTAGGGTTGTGGCAGGGTTTTAGTTTTAGATGATTGATGATTGTTAAGTAGATTTTATGTAAGTGGAACAGAGCATGCGCAATGGCCATGTGAGGCAATCTCGGCCTGCGGCCTAATAGATGAGGAAGTTTGTTGCGGTAGAAACCACTCTGCAAGTTTTGAAATGTGAGTATGGTGCTTAGTAGATCTAGAATCTAGGGTGTTTGGTAGCTGGCTAATAATTTTCGTTTTCTTACACTGGTTGTTTTAAGGCTTTAGAGCAAAACGAGCTTTCTCGGCCCGCGTTGGCTCTGACTGGCATTGTCGAAGTTTACCTCCTATAAGATCTAATCTACATTGTGTCAGCGAGGGTATCATAACATCTATATTGCAACAGAAGACAGAAGCAGTTGTGCTCTTCAGACAAGTAGTCTATCAACATCCTTGAAGGCTACCGATACTTATCGCATTGCAGTATACATGTAACATGTAATCATGTATAGTTTTCCTAGCGTCCTGATCAGTGTGTGAAGTATTAGCGAATCTGAGATAGATAGAGAGAGAGAGAGAGAGAGAGAGAGAGAGAGAGAGAGAGAGAGAGAGAGATGGTTAAAATAAAGTAAAGGTCATCGACCTGAAGGTTTTGAAATTCTTTGCTTTAAATGGGACATTCACAAACATGTCATAAATAACTCTGTGGTGCTCAAAACGTGAGAGGTCCTGGGTGAAGTTACAATGCAAAAGAGGGAAATGACAATTTTACTCCTTTATCATTGTTGTTATGCTGTTTCAATAATGTTAGCGAATATATACATGTACATGGTTTAATGCATGCTCTGTGCACTTTGCAACTATCATTATTACTATTACCCCAGCAGACCCCAGTACACTCAGAAGTTATCGGGACTTCTCGGCCTCTGTGTGGTGTAGCGGTAAGGAGTGTGTATAATGTACTTATGGCTTCCCATAAACTGCTAAATATGTACGTTTCTGGATGACATGGGGATATAACGCAAAGATTGGGGATTTTTGTTGTCGTAAATGTAAGTGTTTCGGCAGCGCAGGAACCATCGCTTTGATCTTCTGTCTGTGTTGATTTTCGTACATGTATTTATGTAAAGCGCCTTGAGCTGTGTTTACACGGGAGTGGGCGCTGTAGAAATGATCTTCATTATTATTATTATTATTATTATTATTATTATTATTATTATTATTATTAT